TACCCTGGCTCTTCTTTCCAGTCTGATCTTGCTACTATAGCAAAGCAGTGGAGCAAACTGAGTATCCAGAGTAGGGGGGTAACAGTGTCACTGAGCATTTGGCCTCTCTTTTGGGAGCATTTGGCCCCTCTTTCGTGGCAAGGGAAGCAAGAAGTGGCATCACAGCGGTTTGCTTTTGGTAGGTGCAGAGTCCTTGTGGCTCTGTGCAGGAGGGCACTGTTCAGCTGTGCTGAGCAGGTCAGGAGATGCTATTAATTCTCAAATTTCGCATAAGGGTTCTCTTCCTTGAACAGGCCTAGAAGAGAAGAGATTCATTCAGACATCGAGGAGCTCCCTAAGCATTGCAGTCTCAGCAGCAGCAAGTCTAGTACTTGATCACAATTCTGTTACTCATGTAATATCTAACCTCTCTTTTGAGGCCATCTCTTACCTAACCATCTTTTTGAGGCAGCAAGACAAAGCCTTGGCATGACAAGAGCATGGCTCCTGCATTTCCAAGACCAGGTGTCTTGCCTTGAAGGCCTCCTCAGGGCACAGCTTTGCCTGCTCTTCCTCCCACCACAAAGACCAGCCCAGCCAGAGGCCCCTCCAAGTTTTATGCAACCAGACTCTGCAGCAGTCACTAGTTACAGGTGGAGAAGAGGTTTCCAGCTTTCCCTCCACAGACCCCACAAAGTCCAGGCTACCTTCACACAAGTTCTCTGCAGCAGAGACTCACTCTCCAAGCCCCAAGGGCCAGGTTCTTGCCCAACCCTGCTTTTACTAGAGTTGTAGGACACTACAAGCTTGTCCATCCCCTCATCCCATGCTGTTTGCTCCCTGTCTGCTTGGCCAACACAGGACTGCAGAATGGCCATTCTTGAAGGACAACAGCTACACGTATCAGTTCTTGGTCTTCCCATGCTGTCACATCCACCCATGTCTCTCCTTCAGTGTTTTAGAGGGAGGCAGCTCCCACGGAGGATTAAACAGTCCCCCTTTCCTGCCTCACAAAGCAGGCAGGACTTGTGTCAGATCACAAGCCACAACCAGAGCATCTCTAGACTTGCTCCCGGAGGGCAGCAGAGCAACTCAGTGAGATGTGGGAGATGAAGTTGTTCATCTCCCACTGGAGATGAGCAGCCGCTTGGCTGCTGGCCAAGCATCCCGGGTGACTGTAACCCTAGTGAGGAACACAGGGTCACTGAGGGGCCTGATCGAAAGCTTAGTTTTCATCTCTAGCATAAGCCACTGTACCATATTTTCTTCGGATTTCATCATGTCTTGATTTCATCTCTGCTCTCCTGGAAAGCGAAACAAACAAACCAAATCATCAAGACAAAAACCAAGCAGTGGATACGCACAGGTGTGACGTATCCGCAAACCACAGCAGAAGGATTTTGCTCGTGAGGCTAACACCCATGCTGAGGCCCAATCCACCACCCACTGTATACTTGGGGGCCACACATCCTTCCTGAGGTGACATTTCAAACTGCACAGGCAGGAATCGAGCTGCGCAGGGGCTTGGCCCAGGGCTGGACTCGCTCGCGGAGGAAAAGCTGCTCCACCAGAGCCCCTCACCTCTCCTCTTGTCGCACCCTCCTCTTCTCTCGCTCTCTGGCCGCTTTTTCATCATCCTTGTCAGGCCTGGGAGACAGAAGAGCCCGTTAGCTGTGTTTGGCACTCACTTTCTGCAACATCACGCAGTTGCATCCCTGCTATCTTTGGGGAAAAGAGAGGGGGCAGCTCTGAATACTTGCTTTTTGCTCTTTTTCCGACAACAGCAGCAGCAGCAGACACCCAGCATAATCAGGATCATTCCCCCCACCACAGACATCGCAATGATCAGGGCTTCAAAGTTCACTAAAGGGTTCAACGATAGAAACAAAACATTTAGCACACAAACATATGGAAGTTAAAACGTTTACAACCACACAGCTACCACCACCAACAGCTTCAGGGTTCGGGACATGTATCTACAGGAGTCCCAGACTCTAACGCAATTCCCATTTCCTTTCTACAGTTACACTGGGTGATGGCACTGGCACACAGGCATTAATTCACTGTATATAGCCACTAACTACAGCACTTAGTTAGCAGACACGAACACAATGGCAAGAACAAGTGTGCTCAGGTCAAACTACTACTGTTACAAGTCGCAAGCGAAGGATTACTGCAGTTTGCACTTCCCAACTTTGGTTATTTGCTACATTCCAGGTCACTGTGGATGTGAATTCCCATGTCTGTGCCAAGCTGGAGGACAGAGTGCTCGAGCAGCTGTGAGGAGGGAGCAGGGAGAGCTTAATCACTAATCCAGAGGGTTAGTAACTCATCAAGAAAAACCTCCCTGGGGATTTCAGTGCTGAGATGTAGCTCGCACTGAAGTTACTATCCACAGGGATCTCCTCAAAAATCACCTTATAAAAGACAAATGTTGAGCTAGAGGCGCTCCTGTATTCAGAGTCCCTGGACTAGTGACAAAGTGAGGTAGATTTTGTTGGGTTTTATCAGTTTGGGTATCAGTAATAGGGCATTTTAGAAGACACCTGCCCGTTACCCTCAGCAGTAACAGGTTTATGGGAGGGCTCCACTCTGGGCTGGCTCTGCCACTGAAGCGGCTCTCCAGACCTCCAGCTCCTGCCCACAAGGGAGGTTTTCCATCCTCAAAGGGAAGGTCTCCAACAGCACAGCTCCGTACTGCTGCCTCCGAGATACCGGCTCTGAGATCCAGCTCATCCCGGCCTGTGGGCAGAGGAACGTGACTGGGCCCTGGCACACTCCTCCACCTGCTGATAAAGGCTTGGGAATTCACATACCGTAAATGCAGACTCATATGAGAGCTAATCACCCTCAGAGTAATCTCCCCTAGAGCTAGTTTTGCGAGGTAAGGAATGCGCCCTTCCACAATGAAGCCTTTTGTGAATCTACTCAAACACAAACTAGTATTTCAAGGTCTTGCAAAAAGAAAAAAAAAAAAAAAACTAACTACAGGAAGACAAATTATTGCTCACAAAGAGGAGATTCGCCCTCCATGAGAAAGGGGAGCTCTGTTCTGCGCTCTGCTGTGGATGAAGGCGACAGCCCAGCCTCAAAAACAACATACATTTGTGAGCACAATTCAAATCCCAGATCCCCATCAGTGGAAGCCAGACAGAGCAGAGAAGGAGGGAGCCACCTCTTGCCTTTAACTCACCCTCCCACCCCACCCTGCAAAAGCTGGGTCTTGTCCAAGGATGAGCGCACGCTAATCCCACTTCGAACAAGACGCTCTTTCCTTTGGAATAAGGCCAGGAAACAGAGTGATCAAGCGGGAAGCAGCACAGCCAACATTCAGCTATCTGCCAGAAAACAAATCACCCCGAGATAACTTGGCTCCGAACGGCGCTTCATGCCGCAGTTTATGCAGCCAACAGGCCAAAAGCGGCGCGAGGAGCCGCGCAGCGTGTTCAGAGAGCAGAGCTGCCGCTGCTGCGGGGAGGCCGTCGCTGCTGGGGACAGGCTGAGCAGGGAAAGGGCTGCAGCTGCCGCTGCGAGGGCTCCGGTTCCTGCTCCGAGGTGCTAGGCCACATTGGGAAGCGGCCGCCCCACGAACGCGTGAGGAACCCCCTGGGGGTAACTACGGCCACACGGGTCACTCTGTGCAGCTGGCAGGGGACTGCTCATCCGTAGTTTTCCCGCACACTTCAGGCTATCTGCAGGACCACAGTCTACTTCAGCAGGGCCGTACGATAACACGAGCAAGGCAAGTGGGTAGGAAAACAAACCTCCCGTTAACAGCAAGTGGCAACTGGTCCCTTCAGCAAGAGCCACCACGTCCGGGGATTCCTTAAGGGAAATCCACTTACCCCAGCAGACTCCCCAGCGGGCCGAGCGCAGCTCGCACAGGTCACTCGGGGGAAGGATCCTTCGGACAGGGTACTCCACGCACTCCTGGCTGCTGACGCACCACAGGCACTGGGACACACGAGAGAGGACACATGAGAGGCAGTCACCACCAGATCCTTGGTGTCCACCCTGGCCAGCACTTCTGGGGCATGAATGGAGGTCTTTGTCCCCTCTTGGTGGCTACGGAGAGGACACACAAGAGAGGACACACGAGAGGCAGTCACCACCAGATCTTTGGTGTCCTCCCTGGCCAGCACTTCTGGGGCACGAACAGAGGTCTTTGTCCCCTCTTGGTGGCTACCACCCCTAGAGCCAGGGCTTAGTTGGGTTTGGTCAAGCTGGCTCTAGCTAAGGCAGCTGGGAGATGTGACCCAAGTTCACGTCCACCAGTGACGAAAGAGGCTCACAGGACAGCGATATGCATCCTATATCTTCTCAGTGCTATAGAATTCAGACTGGTGGAGGCCTCTTGACTAGCTAGTCCTACCAACAGCGAGTCCACCATGTCCCACAGTGGTGGGGCTTGGCCGCACACTGCTACATGAGTAAATAAAAGAAAGAAAACAACAGTTCCACAGGAAGATTTGAGTGGGAAGGGACCTCCCAGAGGTCCCTCCTCCAGTCTCCCGCTCCATGCAAGGCTGTAGTCAGAGATGGATCAAAATTACTCAACTACTAGCATGCATGTACTCCTTTTCAATGCCAGAACACTGCACTCCATGTCACCTGACCACAGGAAGCATCCCAAATGCTCAATGAGGAGCCTAGCACTGCAATTACTTGAGTCGAGGCATACAGCAATAAATAAATAAATAAAACACGAGCACAGTCTCCAGATTTATTCCTGGAGCACCGAGGCGCTTGCCCTCTCACTGGCACGGGTGGGTGGTATTTGCAGCTTGTTCGAGACAGCTACAGAAGGGAGCACCCACCAGCTCCAGGAGAGGCAATTGCTCCTTTCGCAGCCCCGCAAAGCGCACACCCGGCTCGTAGGCATTTGGGAGGCTCGAGTTTTACTTCTGCTACTTACGGTGACATTTTTCAGACACTCTTCACAGCTCCTGTTTGTATACTGGTGACAAGCTGCAAGGAGAAAGAAGAGACACCTCAGTACTTTTAAATGCATCCCAGTGCTTTAGAACACAGCATGCCTCGGGCCTGCTCCTGCCTGCCCCTTGCTGTGCAAAGGGCCTGGAGCCCTCCCGATGGCTGTTAGCCCCAGGATACCAGCTGTCAGAAAAGCCACCAGCACTTTCAGGTTCAACATGGGCTCAAAGTGTCACAGTGAGTCTCCGCATGCTGTTCTCTGCCTCAGGGCGCTCAGATTTCTAGCCCAAACCCACAGGAACATGCCAAAGGCGAGCAAGCTGGGCCCCAAGCTCCATTGCCCGTGGGACTCTCTACTCCAAGTCAAATGCAGGCCTTCGAGATGGGCTCCTCCTCATGCTGACCCCTTCTCTGGCAGCCTTTGTGGCCACCTCCCTTTTGAACATAAATCTTTTTTTCCTGGAAAAGCGTAGATGGGCTTGGCCTGAGCCACTTACTATGGAGGCAACGCGCACATCCTTGTATCCTTGTTCACCGCTTTCCCCCTCCTTCTTCCCCCCAAATTTAAGGGTCCATCTTCTGCCTGACTTAGACACGGACATGACTCCCCCCTCCCCTGCACACACTGTCCCCTCTGCCCTACTCAAAAGAGCTACCCCAGAAGCAACTGTCACCAAGTGATCTGCCCAGCCACAGCACAGTTCAACAAAGCAGAAAGCTCCAGATTATGGGACTAAAAAAAAACCAAGGCCATTCAAGCTGGAGGGGAAGGACAAGAGCCATCAGGATGCAGTTTACTGGACATACACCTGGGGGACAGAGACGAGGGGCACAGGCAGCTCCTCTCGCTTGTCCAGAAACCAACTGCGTGGCAGCAGCCACTGTCACCGATGAGACCTGCCCCTGCCGCAGACCTCCACACCCAACTCACGCAGCCGAGTTAACGGTGAGGGCAGCCGCACGTTGACGGAGCGCGGGGCCAAAAGGCAGCTCGCTCCCCGCAAGCACAGCACAACAAACCTGTCCGGGCAGGAGGGTTCTGCTTGCAAAGCCCTCAGCTGTCGGCTTCCTCGCCTGGGTCTTGCCTAAAAACCCGAGCATCTGTCACGGCAAACGTGTTGTGGGACAGTGGGGGACCCACGGAGACGTGGTCAGGCCAAAGGGACCCTGTCGGCACAAGGAGTCGCGCAACGGGGCACAGGCACACATCACCGGATAAGATCAGTTCATACGAACTGCAAACAAGGAAGTTGCTACGAGGAAAAAGCAGAAACAAAAACCTAAAAGGCGATGAAACGTGACAACTTAGCCACATTCCAGGCAGGACCATGCACCCTCCCGAGGCGCGGGCAAGAGGAGAAGGGCGCAGAGCTCGGCCGCCCTCCCGGGCCGCAGGGTCCGTCTGCGGCTCACGGCAGCGTTTGCTCCTCAGGGAAGCTCTGCTGTGGGTAACTCAGTTCCCTTCATGTTGCCCTTCTCCTTGTGCCAGCTGGTCCAAGGAGGAGGGAGCTTTTGGGCTCTCCCAGGCCCTCAGGCAGAGAATATTTGGCGGCCTTTGAGCATCAGCTGTTCAAATGTCACATGGGCCAAAAATAACCTAAGCATTAGCCTCTTTGACTTGGGTTTTTGGGCCCGAGGTTTAGCTGGGAAATAAAACTTTGGGCGTTTTACTTCCCATTTTGTGTTAAGCAATCTGCCTCCATACTCAAGGATGGGTGGAAGGAGGATCCCCACCTGGTGGCAGCCTCACCAGGAGCAAACAGGTTCTGCAGGGGGGCTCTCTGCAGAGCTGCGTTTGCTCTTTGCAGCCATGACCCGTCACATGTCCCGCGCAGCCCTTGGGACCAGGCAGCGGTTTGCGAACACGGCCGAGATAAGTGTGTTTACTCGCCGCTAAGCGCGGGCTGAGATTGCACACACATCACCCCACGTCGGGAGCAGAGCCTGGGAAGCTCCAGCACGCACGGAACCACCACGTCTGGGCAGCCCCATCGACTGCTGGGTGCCGGCGGGGTCCGAAAGAGCCTCCGCGCATGCCAAAAGGTGCCCAGGACACCAAAGGGATGGTACAATCCCAATGGAAAGATAGTTCCCAGGAGAACGCAGGGTCTGTCCTGTCCAGGTTCAAGACAGGGCAGTCAGGAGAGGCCACCACGACAGGGCTCTCCTCAAGGTCTACACCAAGCCCTGTGCCCACAGGCTCTGCCCGGGACACTAAGAGGCTCCACACACCAGAACCCACCCCGAATCTCACCCAGCTCGTGCCCTAGTTGGGGTTTTTTCCCCAGCACCGGCGGGCTCCGTGTTCACAGCCCGGCT